CCTCCATACCTCCTGGATGCTTGTGGGGGCACAGAGTGGAGTGGCAGGGGTTCCAATGCATCTGCTCACATCTCTCCTGCCAAACACTAATTTTTCCAGGTGGAAGTATTCTCATGATAAGTAAGTTCCTTGGGACAGAGATTTTTGGTACAGTGCCCAGCATAGTGCGGCCCCAATCCTGATTGAGGTCTCTGGGTCCTGCTATAATAATAAAAAAACCCAGAGCTCTCTCTCTTTCTGGGACCCAGAATTTCATCTTTAAAACAATTGGCTATAAATGCAGCCCTTGCTTATCTCAATCCCTTCCAGGCAAATAAACAAGCTGGCATCCTTGATGTCTTTCCAAGCTCGGACTCACTGTAGCAAGAGCCAGCGGCTCTCCAGGTCTTCTCCTCCAGGCAGACACAGCTGTTTGTTTACAGTGAGAGAGAGGGAAAGTGAAGATTAGATGCAGGTGTCAGGACTTCCAGGTTTTGTTCCCAATTCTGGAGAGAATGTGAAGTCTGGTAGTTAGAGCAGGGAACAGGAGTCAGGATTCCTGGATCTTATACCTTAGTGTGGGAGACAGTGTGGTTTAGTGGTTAACACAGAAGATTAGGAGCCAGGATTCCTGGGTTCTGTTGTCAGCTCTGGGAGGAATGTATTTCTGGTAGTTAGAGCTCAAGAATGGGAGTGAGGATCCATGGATTTGTCAAGAACAAACAGGGCCAAACCAACCAAATTTCCTTCTTTGACCGGGTTACTGGCCTAGTGGCAAGGGGAGAAGCGGTAGATTCTGATTTTGACGCAGTTGCAACATGACATCCTCATAAGCAAACTAGAGCAATGTGGTGTGGATGAAATTACCATAAGGTGGGTGCAAAACTGGTTGAAAGATCGTACTGAAAGAGTAGTTATCTCAAACCGGGAGGATGTATATAATGGGGTCCAGCAGGGGTATGTCCTGAGTCCAGTACTATTCAAAATTTTCATTAATTAGTTGGATAATGCTTATAAAATCTGTGGATGACACCAAGCTGGGAGAAGTTGCAAGCACTTTGGAGGACAGGATTAGAATTTAAAACAACCTTGACAAATTGAAGAATTGATCTGAAATCAACAAGAAGAAATTCAATAAAATGAAGTGCAAAGTTCTGCCCTGAGGAAGGAAAAATCAAAAGCACAATATCAAAACGGGACTAGCTGGTTAGGCAGTAGGATTGCTGAAAAGGATCTGGGGCTTATCGTGGATCACAACTTGAACATGAGTCAACAGTGTAATGTACTTGGTAAAATGGTTATTCTTCTTCTTGGTGGATTAGCAGGGGTGTCATACGAAAGACACAGGAGGTATCTGTCCTGCTCTATTCACCACTGGTGAGGCCTCAGCTGGAATATTGTGTTCAGTTCTGGGCACCACGCTTTACGGAATATGTGGACAAACTGGAGAAAGTCCAGAGGAGAGACAAAAATGATGATAGGTTTAGAAAATCTGACCTATGAGGAAAGGTTAAAAAAAACTGGGCATGTTTAGTCTTGAGCAAAGAAGACTGAGGGGGGAACCTGATAACACTCTTCAAATATGTTAAGGGCTGTTACAAAGAGGATGGTGAACAACTGTTCTCCACGGCCACTGAAGGTAGGACAAGAAGTAATGGGCTTAATCTGCAGCGGGGGAGATTTAGGTTAGTTATTGGGAAACACTTTCTAACTATAAGGATAGCCCAATTTATGACCTACGGATGAAAAGCGCTATGTAAGAGCTCGGTTTTATTATGGTACGGGGCACTGCAAACACAAAGCGCAAGATAGAGTCCCACTGCAACGAGTTTACAACCTAAAGAGACAATAGGAGGGGAAACTGAGGCACAGAGTGGCAACGTGACTGCCCAGGTCACAGGCGGAGCAGGGAATAGTGCCCCAGTCTTCTGACTCCCAGTCCAGTGCTCTGCTCCATAGTCCATACCGTTCTTAATCATTGGGCTATAACCCGTCATCGCAGCTGTTTAATTCTTCTTCTCTATCATGAGGGTATTTCCTCCTACTGGAGGGGAATGGGCTGGATGCTTTAACAGGCATTCTCCATTTACAATCCTATGGTAAATAACTGTATCTTTGACTCTGCTTCCCTCCCTGCTGCAGCTACTTTATGGGAAAATTTAATCACGGAACAACGGGCAGCGTGTTAGAAAAAGCCATGGGGACAGATGGCTTAGCAGTCAAGTGACGTGGCACTCCTTGGGTGAAACGACCACGCAGTCCATTGTTCTCGTAGCAGTTTGGTTCTTAAAAGCTGCTAAAGTCCTGATGCAGGATTTATACAGCTCTCCGCACGATCCCCTTCTCTCTCCCACAAATCCCCTTCCTGGGAATATGCAATGGCACATTCCTCACCTTCATTTCACCCAGAGACATGCCGAAACAGCCGGCAGCCACCAAACAGCCGGCAGCCGGCAGGCTTGTTTGGGTAGGGTGAGCTGCTAGCTAGCATTAAAATTCATCTCACGAACTGGGATAATTACAGCAGCTTCTTCCTAGGCGGAAAGGCATCCTCTTTCCAAAGGTGCTTGGGGTGCTCTACTTTTCAGCAGGGCTCTGTCAAACGTGTGCACTTTGAAGCTGTTGACGGGAGGAAAGGGGGAGGCAGTGGGCTATGAGATCAGGATCTGGTATGTCAACTAGGCACCGTCTGAACTATTCACCTCATTGCTCTGGGGGACGGAAGGAGAGTTGTACATAAGACTTGAACCTCTTCCCACCGGAGCTATTGGGAGCAGGATTAGAATCTACCTCAGGGGAGCGTACAAACCTACCTCAGACCCTTCTCTACCTGCTCCAGAGGAAATAATGGCCTGACGACACTCTCTACCTGAGGGGCATTTACATCAGCAAACCCGATTTCCAACAGCCAGGCACAAGGACATCCCTTCAGCACATCTGGGTGTGCAGCTGATAAGGTTCACTCTATCTAGCTAAGCATTTGTAGTGCACCCATGACTGGTATTTTGGTGCCAGGTTAGATCTCAGGATGATAGACCCCCCCTAGGAATATCTCAGACAGAAAGAAATAAAATCTCTCCCTATTAGCGTCCACCTGATATGGAGGCTGCTTAAGACCCAATCCCCCAAGGGTACAATCCTGCAAGGTGCTTGAGTCTTCAATTTTGGGTTTTGAAGGTGCAGGATCAAGCCCTATATGCTGCCAGATCTCTCTGAAGAGTACTTGAAAAACCCTGTGAAGCAGAATCCCATTCCTGGCACCCAGGGGCCATGAGTGGCAGGGCAATCTGAGAATCAGGGCTTGGGCTGAAGCTATCAGACTGGATATAAGGCGTACATTTTTAATGGTGACAGTAAATAGCCCCTGGAAAAATTTACCAAAGGTCATGGTGGAGTCTCCATCACTGACCATTTTTACATCAAATTGGAGGTTCTTCTGAACGCTCTGCTCTAGGGATTACGTTGGGGCAGTTCTCTGGCCTGGGTTACACAGGGGGTCAGACTAGATGATCACAGTGGTCCCTTCTGGCCTTGGAATCTATGAATTTTGACTCTCCGAATCAGCCTCCATGCATAAGGCTGTAGATCTGGAGCCAAAGCCTGTCTCAGTTACACCCATGCACTCCCCAAAGAGGTTCGCACAGCAGGAACTCAGAGCAGAACGGTGTCGGGTAACGAAACACCCAGCCAAATAAGACCATGACTGCCCAACAAGCCAGCTGATGAGTTCATTAAATCAAAATGATTGCAAAGGGGAGATGAGTTATGAGTTAAAAATAGGCATTGAGGCGAACCCGAGGAGGAGGAGGAGAAGTTATTGAGCAGATGATGTTCTCTTTATGAGCTAAAAGATTCCCGCCCAGAGACTACAGGGATTAAGCAGGAGCCCACAGTCTGACATTAGATGACTGGCCACTATGTGAGCTATGAGAAGCGGCTGGTTATGGGGCATCAGGCTCTCTGGATAATACATCGACCTGGGCATGCTTCTGCAGACAAGCTGCAACCATTGGGGGAGGGGGGCGGAGAAGACAAGCACATTCCTCCCCACCCAATCTGTTTACTGTTATTCTGACGTCCTCCGTGTGACTGCAGGACTCGTGCATTTTCCCTCCTGGCTCCCTCCCACCCACAGACACCACCCCCAGGTCCTGCTGCATTGACTCAGGGCTGGTTAACAGCAGGAGGAATTGGATCAAGCTCCTCCTGGCTACAAAGTTGCCTGGGAATTCCCATGCCTGAAATCACCGTCTGAAGGGACGACTGGCAGCTACGCTTCATGAAGGGGCTTTCCAAAAACAGCAACTCCAAGGGCAGCAGCCGGGGAGACCAGAAACTACCCACATCCGGACACAGCTTCCGTGTGTGTGGGGGGAAGGGGGGAGCTTCTGAAAGATGATCCCAACACTCCTCACAAAGCAAGCAATGGCGCGACAGGGTCAGACAGGGTACACGCAGGGAGCAGCGCAGGCTGAGTACCTCTCTACAGGATGCTGGATACCCCAGATAGGATCCCATCATTCTATACTCTTCATGCTATAGGCTCTTGGGCCCCATGTCCTCTCTAGAGCAGACTCTAACAATCCCCTAGTTCACCTTCTGAACAATGTGCAACCACCACATCAAAAATAGGGCCTATTAAGGGTGCTACAGGGTTTAATCCTATGGAGACGCTGACAGTTGCAGCCATCAGACAATCTCTTATTTCCTAGCATTAATGCCCAAAACAATGAGAGTCACATTGGCAATCTGCCTGGAGCCTGAGGAACGCTCCTAATTTGCTTAAAACGGAGCAGACGGCAGCTCCTGCATCTTTAACGTGGAGGTACTGCCCATGGATATGGCAGGTAGCCGCAGCAACAGTCTGGCTACTTGGATCAATAAACACCATTGCATACTGGGACTGGCCTCTGTATTAAAGATGGGGCCACAGCATGGTAGAACTCTACGGGCCTCATTTGATTTCTCGCGGGGAGTGGGCCAGGCACTGCCAGGCTTACGTCTTTCCACGGTTAGCCTACCTTGTCGGCGAGGCACTCCGACTCCTCCGGGAGGAGGTACACAGCCCCACTTTCAGCCAGCAAGATGGCGGTGTCTGTGGCAGATGAAGACCTTGGCCGGCCCTGGTGCTGATGCAGTATGGCTGTGAGGCTACTATCCTGGGGAGCCTTCCGGACCAGATGTGGGCTGCCTTTCTGGGGATCAAGGGAGCTGCTTTTGCTCCGGCGGCTGCCGCTGTGCAAGCTGCTCCCTCTCTTGATGGATGGGCGGGAGCGGATCTGCTGCAGCACCCTGTTGAAGGCAGTGGGGCGTACAGGAAGGTCGTGGAGGGACATGGCGTAGGAGACACGGTGCATCTCTGGCGAGCGTTCCTTCTCATCAGGGGAGTCGTGGTCAGACATCCCGTAGTGCTGCGACAGAGAGTCCTGGGAGTTCTGGTGCTCCCGTTCCCGCGACCTGCGGCGACTGTGGAAAAGGTGCTTCAGGCCATGGCCAAACATGGAGCCTTCTGAGAGCTGCTGTATTTTCTGTGACAGAGGAAAGAAAACAAAGCACACAAACCATTATTATTATACCCTGGATTGTATGTCCCTGCTCTTAATCAGTCCATATACGGCAGCTAAATAGTACGGTGATGGAATGACAGATGAAAAATACTCTTTAATGACATTACAGCCCTGGGGCCAAATTGTCTACTGGTGTAAAGTGGCGCAGCTTCAGTGAAATCCACTAAATAACACTGGGATCATGTAAAAGAAGACACTGCCTCCCTGCATGGCTGGAGGGCTTTCAGAAGGCTGGGACTGTGTTGTACCCAGGCACTTCAGCATGTGCTTTAGAAAGATTTCACGCTGCTGACAGCAGTTTCTTGCAGCACGCAGGCACAACAACGTGAATGAAGGCTGGTGTGGCACCTGTAACTCGGCATTCTCAGGTCTGTGTTCTGCCCACACAGGTTTTTCTTTTGCATGTCAGTTTCCCCAAGCCCCGTATTTTTGCAAGTCTTCTCTGCCCTCCTTGCATTTCAATAAGGATCCCTCTTCTCCCTATCCTGGGAGGCAAAACCAACCAGATCCTAATGTTAGTGCCTTTCCTTTCGTCCAGTTCCCCACTGCACCCCTGAACCCCTCCTTTTACCAGAACGTTACCACTGCCTCCCTCATTTGCACTATCCTGTGGAGGTCCTGTTGCTTATCTCTGCTTGCTCTTCCCAGATAATAGGTGCTAAGTTCTGCAGGCCTGTGAGAAGAACATGCCAGAGTCCTGTGAACAGCAGCACAAAGTGCTGCTATTGCCAAACCTCCAGACCAGTTCAGGTTGCAGACATTTAAGTCAAACCTAGCTTTGATACACCTTGCAGGGGTCAGGGAGGAGTTTACTCCTCTAGCTACCAGACACAGCATTGCACAACAGGCATTCTGGGCAGAGGGATTCTCCTTCCTTTGAAGCACTACGCATTGGCCACCATGGGAGGCAGGATATTGGCCCTGCTAGACTGATGGCCCTATCCGCTTATGTAACAGCACCAATAGTCAGGGAGGGCAGCGTTGTGGCACGGCAAGTGCACCAGCCACTGACCATTCAGTGGGCTTTGCTCTCATAGAAAGGAGCCAGTTACGATTCAAGATGAGGCAAGGTTATGAAAGAGGAGAGGCCAGAAACAATCTGGCCTCTCTCTATAAAGATGACAAGGACACACGGTGAGTCGCTGCTCCACTCCGCTCAGCTGTGAATGGCTCCCATATGACGTTCACTTCTTGTTAGCATCACAGCCCTGAGGCTCTACAAAACATCTGTTCCTGCACTTTCACTAGAGCTGGAGTGCACAAAAGACTAGTCAAGGTGGTTCAGTGCTCAGTAATGCTAACAGCTGGCACTTACCCAGTGCCTTATGAACTTCTCCTAAGGCCTGGTCTACACTAGGCGTTTATGTCGAATTTAGCGCCGTTACATCGAATAAACCCTGCACCCGTCCACACCACGAAGCTAGTTAGTTCGACACAGAGGTCTCTTCAATTCGACTTCTGTACTCCTCCCCAACGAGGGGAGTAGCGCTAAATTCGACATGGCCATATCGAATTAGGCTAGGTGTGGATGGAAATCGACGGTAATAGCTCCGGGAGCTATCCCACAGTGCACCACTCTGTTGACTCTCTGGACAGCAGTCCGAGCTCGGATGCTCTGACCAGCCACACAGGAAAAGCCCCGGGAAAATTTGAATTCCTTTTCCTGTCTGGGCAGTTTGAATCTCATTTCCTGTTTGGACATCGTGGCGAGCTCAGCAGCACTGGCAACGATGCAGAGCTCTCCAGCAGAGATGGCCGTGCAATCTCAGACTAGAAAGAGGGCCCCAGCATGGACTGATCGGGAAGTCTTGGATCTCATCGCTGTGTGGGGAGATGAGTCCGTGTTTTCCGAGCTGCGCTCCAAAAGACGGAATGCAAAGATCTATGAGAAGATCTCTAAAGCCATGGCAGAGAGAGGATACAGCCGGGATGCAACGCAGTGCCGCGTGAAAATCAAGGAGCTGAGACAAGGCTACCAGAAGACCAAAGAGGCAAACGGACGCTCCGGAGCCCAGCCCCAGACATCCCATTTCTATGAGGCACTGCATTCCATCCTAGGTGCGGCCGCCACCACTACCCCACCAGTGACCGTGGACTCTGAGGATGGGATATTGTCCACTGCCGGTTCCTCGGACATGTTAGCGGACGGGGAAGATGAGGAAGGAGATGAGGAGGACGAGGCAGTCGACAGCGCTTGCAACACTGATTTCCCCGACAGCCAGGATCTCTTCATCACCCTTACAGAGATCCCCTACCAACCGTCCCCAGCCGTTAACCCGGACACAGAATCAGGGGAAGGATCATCCAGTAAGTGTTTTAAACATCTAAACATTTATTTTTAACAGAACAGGAATGTTAACAATACCAACAATGGGTTTCTCATGATTAGTTTGCCCTAGGCGCTTAACGTTTCAGTCCCGGGCAGTGCAACTATTAAAAAAAAATCTAACAATGTCCGGTTTTGCATGATTGTTCTGCCCAAGCCGCTCTACTGTTTAGTCCCTGCCAGTGCAGCTACAGTAAAATGCGGTCTACATGTCCGGGGATAGAGCAGAAATCCTCCTGGGACATCTCGATGAAGCTCTCCTGGAGGTAATTGGAAAGCCTTTGCATCAGGTTCCTGGGGAGAGCGGCCTTATTGGGTCCTCCGTGGTATGAAACGTTTCCACGCCAGGAGACAATCAAGTACTCCGGGATCATTGCCCTACAGAGCATGGCGGCATACGGCCCTGGTCTTTGCAGGCTTTCCCGAAGCATTCTTTCTTTATCACTGTCTGAGATCCTCATCAGGGTGATGTCGCTCATGGTGACCTGCTTTGAATTAGGTAGGGGAATGTTAGTATTGGGACTGCTTGCCCGTTCCTTTACAGAACTGTAACCGGCGGTTTACAGGCACGCGGTGGAGGCGGGAGAGGGGCGGCATACAGGGATCTTTCCCTGGGACAGCCGCGAGGGGGTGGGACAGGGGCAGAGTTGATGCTTGCCGGATTGCTGGCAGCAGGGACTGGCATTGCTTTCAATGTGAAAGGAGGCCAGTGCTACTATTAAAGTTTTAAGCAGCCACAAGTCTACGGCTTACCATGTCTGCCTGCTACACAAATTCCGGTGTCCTGCCCCGCTTCTCAGATCGGCAGTGCAAGACCCCAGGCACTGAATGCGAGGGCCGAAAATTCGACCTTGTCCTGAGTGCGCATGTGATAGGTGCTGTGCATGGTCTTGTTCACAGAGAAAGACTAGGTTCTTTGTTCGCAACTACATTTATCTTTCTGAGGAATTCACTCCCTTTTTCCCATTCCCACAGCCACATCTGCGACTGTCTCCCAACCCAGCCTGGCATCACACTCCCAGAGGCTAGCGCAGATTAGGCGGAGGAAGAAGAGGACGCGGGAGGACATGTTCTCGGAACTAATGGGCTGCTCCCGAGCCCAGGCAGCACAGCAGACCCAGTGGAGGGAGAACTTGTCCCAAATGTACCGGTCACACATGGAACGGGAGGAGAGGTGGCGTCAGGAAGACCAGCAGGCGACTCAAACGCTGCTTGGACTAATGAGGGAGCAAACGGTCACGCTCTGGCGCCTTGTGGATCTTCTGCAGGAACGGAGGCAGGAGGACAGAGCCCCGCTGCAGTCTATCTGTAACCGCCCTCCCCCGCCACCAAGTCCCATACCCCCCTCACCCAAAGTCCAAAGAAGGAGGGGTGGCAGAGTCCGTGAAAACTCTCACTCCACCCCTGCAGACTGCTCAAGCACCAGAAGGCTCTCATTCCCCAAAATTTGAAAAGTCCTTTCCTTCCCGCCTCACCCAAGCCCCCGTCCAAGTTTCACCCCCCAGTTTCATGTGTGGTTGTTAATAAAAAATACGTTTCTGTTCATTACTGTTTCCATCATGTTCTTTAGAGGAGAGTCTGTCTGAAGGGGGGGAAGGGGGTTGGTAATTGGACAGGACAGCAGCAGGGCACACACACAGTGCAGTGACTAGTTACCCTGGTCAGTCTGGGAGGTGGTTTTAGTGTTCTGTGGGGGGTGGGGGTTGCTCTGTGACTTTGTGGCGGGGGAGGGCAGTTACAGATCTTATGCAGCGGTCCTTATCCTGGATCACAGAGCCACGCAGCAGGGGATCTGTAACCCTCCTCCCCCTGCCACAAAGTCACATAGCCCCCACATACACGCAGTCCCGATCAGGAGGGCTGGCAGGCTCCGTTGAAACAACCAGTCCACCACTGCGGAGCCTGTCATTCCTGCAGTTTAGAAGCATCATTTGCATCAGTACACTACACCCGCTCCCCACCACAGTCTGCGTCCCAGGTTTAAAACATTCCCGCGAAAACAGTAATAAAGAAAACGGTGTCCATTAACAAAATAGAAGTCATTTTATTTTTAAACGTGTGTTGGAAGGGGGTGAAGGGGGTATGTAACTGGAGAGGATAGTCAACATTAACTGGGTAAAGAAACGGGGGCAGGTTCAGCGTCTCTGTACACAAACTTAGAAGTCACAGGTTACCCTGCTCACTCAGGAACCTAGCTTTCAGAGCCTCCCGGATGCACAGCGCGTCCCGCTGGGCTCTTCTAATTGCCCGGCTGTCTGGCTGGGCGTAATCAGAAGCCAGGCTATTTGCCTCAACCTCCCATCCCGCCATAAAGGTCTCCCCCTTGCTCTCACAGAGATTGTGGAGCACACAGCAAGCTGCTATAACAATGGGGATATTGGTTTCGCTGAGATCACAGCGAGTCAGTAAGCTTCTCCATCTCCCCTTGAGACGGCCAAAAGCACACTCCACCACCATTCTGCACTTGCTCAGCCGGTAGTTGAAGAGTTCTTTTTCACTGTCCAGGGCGCCAGTATAGGGCTTCATGAGCCAGGGCATTAGCGGGTAGGCTGGGTTCCCGAGGATCACTGTAGGCATCTCCACATCCCCAACAGTTATTTTGTGGTCCGGGAAGTAAATACCTTCCTGCAGCCGT